CACGTTAAGACTTGAAGATCTAAGAAAAAAGAATTCTCTGGCAACAGACAATATTTGTATAGATTTCCCATACAAAGCCAAGATCACTTCCCTTCCAGTTGCCTCTAGAAAGCACAAAGAATGTTACGTGTGCCACCTATTGCAAACAGGTAGTAATATTTGTTGTAGTCTTTTAGAACCTATTCCATCCAAACTGGTGCCTCTGCAGAACCCCAGCTGGTGCCAGGGAAGAAAGAGAAGTGCAGCAAGTAAGCTGTAAAACCACACCGGCAGTGAATCAATTCTGCACTGACTTGTGCAGCAGAGCACGGGGACTAAGCTGACATGGGGAGGCCAAAGCTGGGCTCCTACCACCGTGGAATAATTTCACTGTGTTGTAAACCTGCCATGCACAAGGAAGCAGAGAGACCAGAGATAGTCTCAGACGGACCCATTCCACGGGACTGCTGCTTTGTAAAGTGCCTGTCGATGCTGCAGCTGGAATCTGCCCAAGTCAGGATGGTTTCATACCGCAGGAGAAGTGGACGCAAGGGTTCAGCTGCAGAAAAAGAGACCAGTACGATGAAGCTGCCCCTTATTGTCCAAGAGACTGTAGGAACTGAAAGTATTTCTTCCAAGTTCAGGATTCTTTATTTTATTAGAAAGTTCAATGGGATTTAGTATGTTTATGTGCATGATTACTCTGTCTTTGTTTTCAATTTTCAGATAATCTAAATCTGAGAGCTATGTTTATAAAATCTGAAACACCAGAAGTATTTTGGCACTCAGAAGACATAAACATCTAAAGCAGCAGGGCTTTCGTTTGCCCTGCATCTTTCCCCACCCTTTACTCCTCATCAGAGTGGACTGAGATTGCTACTAGATTGCAGGGGTGACATTTCCTTTATGCACACGGCAGCTGACAATTTAAAAAATGCAATATAGCTCTGTATTGGGCATATATGGATTTCTTCCCAGTGCTGTATGGTTTGTTCAGCTTCACAGAGTCATGATTTTCTATTTCCTTTTAAAAATCTAGAGTTATCTTGAAGCTATTTAGCCATTAAATTTCCTCAGTACATATATGCATACACAGATAATATAACTAGAAGACAATGAAAAGAATAGCACAGCTTGACTTCTTTTTTTGTTGTTGTTGAATTGTTTCAAGTTCTCTTCTTGAAGGAAGATGTGTTTCTAATAGTTTGAGCTGGAATATACAAAGCTAATGATCTACCTTTCTGATGTACAAAACAGATTTCCTATTACTAGGAGCCTTAGACAATAAACGTATAATGAGTTCACAAGTAATTTCTCACTGAAAGCTAACGATTCCAGAGTCCTTGACCTAAGATGGGATTTTTTTTGTCAAGATGGACAAAGCCATCCCAAGTACATAAACTGAAAACTATTCAGACTCATGAATGCAATCTACAGTAAGATCGGCCAAGGTTATCACCAGATGTTTCTTGTCCCACTTGCCACAGCTTGATTGTATTGTAATTAATTCAGCTGAAAAGTCTCTGCAAGAACTGTGTTTTCAGCAGAATTTCAAGCTTGGTTTCAAATACCAGAAATAATTTCCAATTTCTTAAAACATCCTAGACAAATGTGAAACTCTGCAGTTAAAGTATGCCAAAAAAGAACTTTAAAAATTGCATTTAAAGAGCATTAAAGGGGTATTCTCAAAGTAATTATGGTTAAAGCTAGGCCTTTGGAGTTCAGAGACTTAGGCACCTATAACACAAAGGCTTAGGGCTTTATTCAGTAAACTATTTGCCCCTGTAAGTTCAGAGGTACAACAGAAATACAAACTCAGGTTTCTGCACCAAACCATAGTAGTATTTATCCAGTTAGTCATCCATAATATGAACAAACAAAAAAAAAAATCAATATTTCCCAAAGTATTTTACAGCTCATCCTCCATTTTTTTATGGCATATCAGACCAAAGACCTACTATATTCTTCTTGTGAAGAAAGATGCTTCTAGTTATTTAAAGTTTGAGGTCCATTTAAAAATGAATTTCATTAAAGTCAGATACTCACAGGCCTGAAGTTGACATAAATAAAAAAGAACATATTTTATCATAATATACCACTTTATTTTGCTGCAAAATATTTGCAGAAAGAACACATTGAAATGCACTCCCAAACCACTTTAAACCTAAGTCTGGACAATACAAGCCTGAGACAAAATGAGATATGTTAAAAATTATGGTTCTGGTTTTCAGAGGTATTGACCACCAAAGCTTATATTTAACTTCAGGTAGAATTGTGTTCGGCATGTCTGAAAATTGGGCCCTAAATTAAAGATAAGTATTTTTACCTGAGTAACATCCCTTTAAGTACCACCCACAAATTATATAGTGATGGCTCTTCCCCTAGGAAAATCGTCTTCTGGATTATTTTTAAGATAAAAGCACAGACCAATGTCAGCCCTCTTACAAGCCGCATACTAATGTGAGGAAGGGAAGGAAGGATTTATTTGGAATCTTTTAATTGACCTCAGTGGAATTGGGCCTGGACCCATTAAAACATTTATGAAAAGCAGTTATGGAGCATGAATAGTACCCAATCTAAAACATTAATGTCTAGGTAATATTAAAACTAATTTGTTTAAAAATAGCAGGGAGGGGAGGAGCAGAGCCCCGCTGCATGAAGGACTAAATTCCTCCAACTTTCTGTTGGTCTTTTTTGTCATTATTTTTTAAACAGTTCCAGAGACAGAAGTTTCTCTTTTTCCTTAGGCTTCTCGTTCCCCGGCATGGGCCCAAGCATTAGTGATACTCATTTTCACCTCAATCCTGCATTATCATGAGTTTTAGACTCATGGGCCAGCATATCACAGCTTCATCCTTCCTCGGGAATGACGTAGGCAGTTAAAGGCATTAAAACAAATAGACCTCCAAAATTAATGTGTTTTGCAGGAAATAAGAGTGGGGGTATCCAAAGCCAGAGGGTATGTTCAGAATAGGGGGATTCAATTCCAGGATGTCAAAAATGTTCTCCATCACCACAGCATGGCAGAAACCTGTTCTTAATGCTATGATAGATGCTCTAAATGCACCACTTAATCAGAGTTATTGGATATGGGAACATGCAAATCTACCAATAATGCAAGAGCCTATGCTTTATGAAGGGCACAGCTACCAGAGAGGTAACTGACTCCCTAAGGATTTAACGGGAGCTGCATAAGTCCATGGTGTCTTGAGCACGAGCCGCTGCTCGTGTTCATTAATCTTAGTGAGAGAGGGGATTTACCTCCAATAAATATCCTAACACCAGGCCTCTTACAGCAGCTTTTCAGATAGCTCCTAGTCCCAACAAAAGCTGCCATTAGTGCATGATCTGTAGCTGACAAGAACCTGCATGGAAACCGCTTAGCAAAAGTTAACCCAGTTAGCAATGAGAAACTGCAAGTTATACGTAAAGAGCAAACAAACAGATTGGCAGGAAACACCTGTGACCCTCCCTGTCCAGTACGTCTTCTCTCCAGTTCCCAAAGCACTGAATCCTCCTGTGGCCCTTTATGATTTATTTCCAGAACCTCCCAAAATGAACAATGGCCATATGCACATTTACCTTTGAACACAGGAATGCTGTGTTGCACCTCTTCAAAGGTGAAAGAGCCACATAGTCATCCTAGAACTATAAAAGACATACTTCCGATAAATAAAGTAGCAGCCCAGCTTTTGACCAGAAAAGATCTACAAGAGTATGTGATGCCTATTCACTACTGCTCCCAGAGGGATGTCGCAGCAATATGAATCATCTCAAGGCCCATGACTGCTCCCATCCAAAGGCTGCCCATGCTGGAAATCAACACCTTGCCGTTTGTCCCAGCCACTCTTCAAAGCTCTCCCCTGCCTGCCTTTGGCTAGCTTTTCATGGAGGTATTTAAGACAAGCCATTTGAGAGATGAAAAGCAAAGCATTTTGATTTGAGAATTTTGGTTCAATGTCTCGTGACAGACATAGTCTTAATGCTTCGTGCCTTTGTATTGAATTTGAGCTCCTTGCTTGGGCTATGTGTTACAGAGACCACTGCAGCTTGTTTCTCAGACAAGTCAAATTTTAATCAAAATGAACTACTTTCTTTTCCTGATTATTTTGCAGAAAAATAAAAAATAATTTAAAAAATATTTTTTTTGCAGAGGTGCATATTTTTAGGAAAGAAACAAAATCTCCACTAAAAAATACCCGATGAACATTTTTCAAGTAGGCCTACTTTTTATGTTTTAAGGTCTGTTCCTAGTAAGGAATCTTTGATGTAGTCAGCAAGACTTTTCTTCCGCCTAGAAGACCTATTGATATATAGCCAAACAGAGAGCAGAGAAAAAAATCCACTCTTGTATGTCACTGGACTCTTAATCTATTTTACGAGCCTTAAACACTACAACTCTTTGCACAGTAGAAATTTCAAAAGATCCAAAAACTCCTTTTTTTTCTCCTTATGTAGCTTTTCAAAACCTGGAGTTTTACTTTTCATGAATATTTTTAACCAGCACAAACCTTTTTAGGCTTTTCTTACATCTATCCTTTGTCAAGGAAGAAAGAAGCAATCCTGTGAATCAGATCCCATGTGCATAATCACACAACTACACGAACTAATCGCATCCATAAAAAGCATTCGGTTCAAACATTACTGTATAGGGAATGCTTAGCCTTAAAAATTATGCTGTTTGGACTAGCAACTTTGAATACATCTCATGAACAATCCATCTGCACCAGTACCTTTTTTTTTTTCTTTTTTTAACTTAAATCAGAATATGAGCAACCTGACAGTGTCTATAATAAGCCTGCTGATTGCTTCACCTTTATTAATTCTTGCTTCTCTTTTTGTTTCACATTTCTATTATACTAACATGCACATTGTTAAAACGTTTCCAAAAAAAATTGATCAGATCTTGATTGCCAGCTAGGACGTATAGAGTAGTAACCTCAACCAAGTTTATAGCGAGCTTCAAATTTGTTACCCCATATAGAGCCACCACCCATCATAAATAATGCAAGTTGGGTTGGATGAACTTGCCACTTAGCCAGGGAGGACTCATTTACAGCACAGATTCACCACCTCGGTTTTTAGCCATTGGCCAACCCTGGGGGTTCACCGTGCAGGTGAAGGGGTGGTGGCAGGCAGGGGGTGGGGATGGAGTGGAAGCACGGGGTGGTGGGGACACAGAGATGCTGGGAACATCAGGTGGTAAGGATGTGGGGAACACCAGGGATGAGGAAGGACACTGGGTGGTGAAGGTGCAGGGATGCCAGGGTCAGCAGACAGTTAGGACATGGGGAATTGTGGGAAATCAGCTGGTGGGATCTCCAACACCTGGAATGTTGTTTTTCAAACCCCAAGGCATTCTGCCTGGCAACGCAACTGCCAGCAGCAGACAGAGACCTGGCTGGTAAGTAAGCAAGCTGCCTGTCTCGATGCCGTGCACAGGAGGGGTTTAGGTGGGGCCTGGGCTATCACATGTGGAATATTTCCCTTTGAGGAATAACAGGGTATCAGTAGTTTGCTTTTCCTAAGCTGGCTGTAGCTCTAGTGCTTGTAGCAGGGAGGGTCCTGTGAGGGAATGGAAACACCCATACCTCCTCCTCTGTTACCTTCATGCTTAGTGAGATGGGGACGAATGAGGGAGCAGCTTTTAATTTTCTTCACCTTACCCAAATTTACAGTCCCAGCACTTTCCAGAGACCGCAATGGGATTTTTCCAACCATCTCCTCACCCACCTGCCCAAAATTCCTTGTTTCTTTCTATCACCTAAAGCCAACCTCTTTACATCTCAGCCACCTCCACTCAGGGAATTCGTCTGGCAGTACAGATCTTTTTAGGCAGCGGTCACAACCGCTCTCCAGTGTCTCTCCATACAGAGTGTTTTCCTCTCCCATTAGTCTTTTAAGTTTAAAAAAACTCAGCCTTGAGGATTTAGGTGAAGAAGGACCTTCTTTTTTATTTCAATTTTGTTTCCATTTTGCATCTTCATTCCAGGCCCATTTCATTCTGACTACAGCATTTATTTGTGGGGGGTTTTTTTAGGAAAAATGCTTAATTATTTTTTATCTGGATCTTCCTGGATCCTATCTCCAAATTACTGCATCATCAACAACCCCCTAAATAGATCCTAGGAAAATTCACTTTTGGAAGATGGAGAGACACTGAATACTCCAACCACAGGGAAAGCTTTGATCAGCTCTTAACCACTGTTAGACACCAGAGAGCCCTGCAATAAAGACCCAGGAAACTCACTTTCATTAGTTCTACTCATCATCCAAATACATGTTTGACACTCTTACCATCTTCCCTTATTTCTCTATTCCCTCAGATCTTCAGTGCTTCCCCCCTCTTACTGAATCTTTAGGCATTTCCATTTTATTTCTTTTCCCCTTTTGTTGCTTTAGCCGTGCTGCACTTTTCCCCATAATTGTTTTGCTCTGCTCTGCACTTTTGAGCCAGCAGATCAGTGAGTGTGGATAGGATGCAATGATTCATTCGTCTAGGTTTCGCCTCAACTGCGTAGCTAAAGTAGAGAAATTTAGATGCCATATCTAAGCTGCACCTGGGGAAGCAAATGTGCAGAGGAAGCAATAGGGCTGAAGCTACTGAGAACAAAAAAGTCTGTCTTGAAAGGATATTTATTTATTTATCTGCAGAACAACATATTTATTTTTTTTTTTAGCAATATGGCACATTTGTTCTGTTTTGAGATCTTGTATCTTAGTTACTTGATTAATTATGCTGGTTTTGCTTTGTGTTTCTTCTGTCTCCCTCTGATCGTGGGATTTTTTAGTCCTCAGCACCTAAGAGGATAGCTTAGCACTGGGATGGGGCTGTCGTCTGTGAGGTTTATGCCATTTCCTACCCTATTCTGAAATACTTGTTGAACCTTCTCAGCGTTCCAAGTTGTGAATGTAATTTCAGTGTGTCTTCCTTCATCAGCTCTGTTTTGAGGCCTGCAGTTACAAGCTTTATTTGTCTAGGTGAGAAGCAGCAGAGACTACATTATTTAGATGCATTTGCAAAATTACTTTAGAAAGTGAGGTTAACAAGTTGCTTTGATTTAAGTGTTTTCAGCAATTTAGTCTCTTGACAAATGAATAAGGACCTTACTTTAAACCCTTTTCTAAACCTACTTTAGAACTTTTTTTTTTTATCACGTACATCAGTGGAGCTCAGGTTCTGATGAGCATGAGTATACCTCCTCCAGTGGTCCAAGGTGGGAAGAAAACTCTGCTTACACTCAATGGTCTGAGATGCAAGTGGTAGAAGAAACGTTGTGGGGATATAGATTTCTCTTCTGATATTATATACAAGGCACCTTCCAACAGGTTCAGTTCCTTCCATTTTCAAAATACTGGGCTGAAAGTATTCTCAAGGAGGTGAGGAAGAGCTGAGCTGGAGTTATTAAACTGGGGCATGCTGTAAAGCATTTAGTACTGGCTGCCTTGGGGACAGCCATGCTATCCCCCAGTGTGCTTCTACTCGTGTGCTCCAGCAGGCTCGAGGGCTTGGACTGAGCCAGTGCCTCACTTCCCAAGCGCCTCCCCAACGGGGATGGTCCTCAGGAGCCCCCGAGGCGAGTCCCGTTGTGCTGAGCTGGCTCAGTACCATCTTTAAATGGGACTTAGGGAAGGCAACTGCAGGAACCCCAAAAGTGAGAAGCTGATCTGCCATGGGTCTCCTGCATGTCCCTAAGTAGCATTCATTTCGCTGTACCTCATTTCCATATCTCCATTTTACGGCAAAGGATACTTCTTTCCTCTTCTTGGTCTATTTAAAAATTTCTTTTACAACAAATATGTAGAAGTATAATAGGAACCTGTTCTCAGATGGCACCATTTAATTTTATTGTAATAATAGTAATAAATGTACTAAGTACAAACAATGTGCTTGATGTAGAAATACATATAATACATTTAACTGGATTTTGAAATTGGTTCTTCATGAATGGACACCTATTCTTGTTCAAATGAGAAGTGGCATCTCAGATGGTACTTTGGAAGATGATAGAATACCTGTCATCCCCATACCAGGATAAAGTAGAGAAGGAACATTAGATTTCCACTCCAAGCCTGTGAAAAGAATTTTTTTTTTCAGATACTTGGATTTTATTTCATTATGTTTCCTTTTCTTCATTTAATTTAATAATATGTTCCAAATCTATTTATCCAAATGCATCTGTTTTATACTTGGGGAAATACAATCTGAAAAGAAAATGTAACTTTTTTCCAGTAAAGTTAAAAGAATGGAAGGCAACTAATTTTAACATATTGCCACTTAATGTCATCTTGTTTGATGATAAAATACATGGTAAAGCGTTTTCAGTAATCACTTCTTGAAACAAAACAGAGCCTTCCTGGCTAATGAATGGAGATACATTTATTTATTTATAGGACGTTCATCATTCTAATTCCTTTGTGTTTCACAAATATTAGTAAGTTGATCCATGCAGCACTGAAAAGAAGTGAAGTCTTATTAGCCCCATGAGGCACAGAAATCACATGACCTGCCCACACCAGAAAGATGCATGTAAAGTATAATATAATTAGAATTAAAAAAAAAAAAAAATTGCTTATTACAGTACCTAACCCATAAAAACCTCCCTCTGTCATTCAGTACTGCTAACCTTAAACATTAAACATCCTCAGGCAGGCAACCGGGAACATCTAATAGATAAAAATGTTTTGATTTGTTGTTTTGTGTTTTTTTTTTTTAAAAAAAAGACATTCTTTGACTTCTTTCCTTTTATCTCCTGAGCCTTTACATGATACTTGAGTTACATTTCCAAGCTTTTTCCTGTAGCCATGAGGGCTAGAGAAAAATATTTTAAAACAACACTGAGAATGTCCTCTAACTGCATACCTTCTAGAAGCTGAGTTGTAAGCAGCATACGATGAGGTCTGCTGTATTGCAGGGTGGCCATACGGCTCGTTTTGTACTTGCACTGTTTTCAGGAATTATAATACTGTAATGCATTAAGTTAGAATCAATAAATGAAGTATTTTATTAGCTACATTCACTTTATGGTGCCTACTCCTTAAAAGGTTATTATTTATATCAGGATATCCTTACATAAGCTTGCAAAACCATTTAGGAAATATAGATGCAATGCTGTAGTAGTACTGTTCAAATGCGACCACTGACAAATTTTATGGGCAATCTCTGGACACATGTAAAAGTGAGTCCTTTGAAGTGTTTTGCATTGGTTTATCTTTGCTCTGACGAAGTCATTAAGGCTTTTACCAACTGATTGACATAGTAAGGCAGGCCAGCGATGAGGAAACTGCACGTATCATTGCTGTTTTGAAAGAATACGCAGGAAATTCAATGTAAAATGTTTTGCTGCATTCCACATTTCTTCATTATAAATATAAGCCCTAGCCCCGTAACTGCTTGTTTGCATGTCTAATGTTATGCGACGCTGCGAGACTACTCACTCCTATAAAATTAAGATGCTTCATGTGTGTGTTTGCAGGACCGTGACCACAAGGAATACTTGCTCAATGTAATAACTACCAGTTGAAAAACAAAACAAAAATCAACTCTAATTGTGCCCATTTAAATTCCAACATTGAAAAATAGCTTAAATATGGTATTTCAGAATGAAAATTTTATAAAAAGTCTGAAGATTTTAGGATTCTGTGGGCTCTTTAGTCCCTCTGTAACGAGGCTATTACATAGCACTGCTTGGAGCAATGTTGAAAATAATGCAGCTGCAGGAGCAGCTGCAGCAAGAATTCACAGAAGCCAGGATGCAAAGCAGGCCCTGCTCAAAGTCCCTGCCTTTAGCTTTCTGTTGTGGTGGGGTTTTTTTCCCTTACTTATTAGCTCAATTCCAGCATCCTCTGAAATGATGCCTTGCTGGGAATAACTGAGGGTTAAAGCTTTAATGGCTTTACTTAGCCTTACAAATGAAAAACCAGGAATTTACTGTCTTCTGCAAACCAGAGTCGCTCTGGCAGCAGCAAATGCTGGGGGGGGGTGGGTTAAATGAACAGTTCAGGGTTGGTCAACATTAAGACAGTAACAGTCAAGAAGAAAACAGCATCAAAAAGGAGGAGAGAGACTTTACAGTCAGGTATACAGGAGCATCTTTGTGCTTCCAGGATTTAAAAAGACCTGGCACTGGGCAGGAGCTGAACTCATGGGCTGCTGCCTCAAAGTGCTTGTCATGTGGCTTGCAGAGAGTTTTGGAGGAAGGTGCAAGTCCAGAACCCGTCCTTATGCTTCCCTTTTCATGACATACAGAGGGTGACAGGAATGAATTGCAGCAGCAGAGTGCTGAGTCCTGGGTAAACTCAGATTTTGGTAATCCCGAAGGGATTTGCCACCATCCTCACCCCATTTCCTAACCCTCAAGTCTTGGGGGGTTAACTGACCCTTTGTCCTTGACAGGTCGATATTAGATAAAAACAAAGTTTTACACATAACTTAAAATCAACATGAATAAATCACATCACTTGGTCTCTTATAGCCACCTTGTAAAACCTGCAGAAGGAGAGTTCCCAGGGAGATTACAATAACAGATGATCCAAAGCAGCAAAGCAACATCATTCACCTCCCAAATCTGAATATACAATAGCCTGTTAATTCAATAGATTTGGTTACTGGCCAAAAATGACCTGTGTTCAGCAATTGTAAACCCCTGCTCCTCTTTAAATCTAAATTTCAGAGCTAAGAGAACACGTCAGAAGATCTCTACTAATGGCAAAGTTCGTATCGTGATCCTTGCATCCTAGGTGTAGCCATACCAATCACTTCCAAGTTTCTCCTGGCAAAATCAACTACATAAAAGGAACCGATATAGTTCTCTTTCAACAGATGTAACATGTTCGGTCACCTTATTACAAGTTAATATTCAGGTTGCAATATCTTGCATCCATTGGAGCTTTGCAGAATTTTCTCAGGAAGGTCATAAAATAAAACATTAAAGTAGTATAACTTAGAGGTTACAAAAGCATGGGCTACAGAATCAGCATTAGTCTGTGACAGCATTGGCTCCAGTCCCAGTGTGGTTTATAGGAAATAAAGGCAAGAACCAACCACACATTTAATAAAATGAACAAAACCATGTTAGAATCAACCTCTGGATCAGATTTTTTTTTGTTATTTTTTCAGTGGCTTACAATGGCCACTGGATTTCCATTGGCTGTCACTGCTCTTACAGATTTGTGTCTTTGCATATAATCATGTGAGAGACCAGGTTCACTCACACATCCCGAATGGGAAATTTGTACCTATGGAGCCCGTGCCATCTACCTTTCTATTCATCAAGGGAAGGAAGAAAAATTTCCCTACTGTTCCTGTCGTACTTCAAGGTTAAAATTCATATTGACAAAAATAATGCAACAGAGTAATAAATGTTCACAGAGATTAAAATAATTGCACAAAAGGGAATTTCTTCACTGGGAAATGAAGACACCAAGCTAAAAGAAGAAATTAAAACCAGAAGCCACACTAAGAAACTAAAAGCTGTCAAAGCAAAAGAACTGCCTCGAATGTTAATCTAAGCTATTTCAGCCAGTCCTTTTTCACAACCTTTTCTTTCCTGCTAACTTTTATGTTACAGCTCTATTGCCTGTACAAAGTTGCTGAATGGAAGCTCTACCTGTCAGGAGCTCTCATCTGTGCATGCTTTAGCTCTCAGTTGTTAGTGGATTTGCTTCAGCTGCCACTGTTAAAGCCTGGCATGTCAAATTACAGAGCAATTAGGGTGAAACGTGTAATTGTAATACACAGGTTAAAAAAACCTCCAGAAACCCTAACTCTAAATTTTCTGTGTTTGTAATGATGACTTTGGAAAGTATTAAAATATCTCTTTAATTAATATAATCCCCAAATTACTGATATGTGCTTCATCTGGTGTCACATAAATTTTTTATCTTTCTACTTTTCTCTTTTTCTTTCCTCCTAGGCATTTTTTGCCTAGGAATATTTAAAGTTCATCATTTCACATTGTGAGAAATGGAATAAGCGTAACTTCGGTATTTGCTAAAGCAGCTAGTGAAATAAGGAGGTGGATGTATAAACTATCTGAATGCTTTATCATATATTCTGACCCCTGAATTTTGTCTCGTTCTGTCTAGCATTACTGCAGAGATACTGTATCTAAGATGAAATCCCTTGGAGTTATGCCATTAGTATAAGGCAGCCATAGCGGTGGGATGAAGAGGAGTCTAGAGGATGGGTCAGTGATAGCTGTCACCATTGTGCTCTGAATCAGGAGCCAAAGAGGGACGGATGCACAGCTATTGCTAACTCATTTAATATCTCTGCTTAACATCTCTGCATCCCAGAGGGACTCATAATATTTAATTACATATCTAATGGGAAATTCAGCCTCACCCTGTGAGTTATTGTGCTGCCTCAATTTCTCTTACATTGTAGAAGCACAGCACTTCACAAGACTGGTCCTGCCATGAAAATTAATTAGTTTATGCCTGAACAGAGCTTTCAACATACAGATCATTCTGTATGACAAAGTAGTATTAGATAACAAATCAAGTTATTCAATTGAATTGTGGACCCATAAGAAAATTATTGTCTCTTATTTTTAATCAAGCAGACTCCAAGCCAGATTACTCC